GGACCCGATTTTAGAGAACTACCCATGTAACAGTCATGTGAGAGGTTTCAAGTTTCGATGCCTCATGGCAGTGAGGCATGCCGCTGACCCGTTCGCTTTAGCATGTTGATTCCTGTCGCGGCTTGCAGGTAGCCCCAGCTTTGCTCGAGCGTGCCTTGAAGGAGCGTGGACAAATTCTGGTAGCAGCTGATTTGGCTGTCTGGTTGCTCAGATTGTTCATGTGAGGCATCTTCAAAAGGGGCGGTGCCGATGTCAGGCTCAAATGCCGAGGCCAGGGCATTGCACAGCTGTCTCATGGTCTCGAAAATTAATGTAAGCCTGGGACAGCGAAGTGTCACATAGGGGCTGACACCCTGTCTGCACACTCTCACTAAACTTACCCGACCTCCGGCGAGCTTTCGACTCGGCCGAGCAGCTAAGCCCTGGTTCTCGAATTTGTCCATGTCCTCGGACCGCTCAGAACTGTTCGGCAGGTCAGGAACAAATCCCCGAACCTTGAACCGCGTATGACTGAAACTTTTCAGAGTCGATTCAAGTCGCTTTGGGTTGCCGATGGACCTGGGAGGACCTGGAGCACCTTTGCCTTGCGATCTGATCTCCTTCGATCGGTTTCGATCGGAGGAATGCTGCCAAGCCACCATGGGCAAATAGAAGTAGTCATATGCGCAGGGGAAGAGTTCATCCAGTAAATCCAGTAGAATCTCTGCATTCAGAGTCTTCGGAAGACCTGCAGGCTGTGTCGAACACAAAACGAAGAAGGCGGGGAACAAAAGCCAAGCCCAGGGGCGTGTCAATACGACGGTTGTTTCCTCGGCCAGCGGAGCATGACATCTCTGGCGCTCTTGCAGCCACGGCGATTGAAACAGCGCAAAAACCTTCAAAACCTAACTAAGGACAACTAGCCTTGTCTTGGCTCAACAGATGACAACTGAGCCTGTGTCCCCACCTTCTTCTGAATTCCATGCCGCCTGCCAACTAAACTCCGTCGCACCAAGTCAAGTGATGAGAAAATGATTTCCAGACTTCCTGTGCTACCTGCACTTCACCCTCAGACACGCAAACACACATACACACACACACATTATACTTCTATGCATACATAAATATATATATATA